TTATTCTCCGGTTTGAGTACATTATTCGAAGATACAGGAAACCAGATATCTAGAGAAGACTACGCCAGGGGCTATTCTTTGTTTGCGTTTGATCTCACCCCTGATTTATCAAACAGTGGACATTTCAATCTAATTAAACGAGGAAATATACGTTTAGAAATTCAATTCGCTACTGCTTTGACAGAAACAATTAACGTTATAATTTACTCAGAATTCGATTCACTTATTGAAATAGTCTCGTAACTGTCTCTTATACACATCTAGATGTGTATAAGAGACAGGTTTACCAGTATATACTCTATCATGGCCTGTTTCAACAACAACGACATTCCAGTTATTGATTTAACTAGAGAAGAAGAAGAAGAAATAGTGATTGATCTGACAAATATTTCAGATGAAGAAGAAGTAAACCCTCCTGTTATAGACTTAACTGAGGAAGGAGAAATCTCCATGGATGACAAAATAGTGATTAATCTGACAAATATTTCAGATGAAGAAGAAGTAAACCCTCTTGTTATAGACTTAACCGAGGAAGGAGAAATCTCCATGGATGACAATACACCAAATATGTGTGTGGATGATGAGCTACCAAGCCTGTCCGACGATGATATTCCATTCAAATTTGTTAGTGAAGAGGAGATTTTGAAAGAGGCAATCTACGACGAATGCGACTACGCCCACTTCCTGATGACTGAACATGAAGTTGAATATAAAGATAATGTGTTTGAAGACGGAAACGAACAAGATAAGCATGCTGAAATGCTCGCAAAAGAACGTTTAGAATTAATTTTTATTAAACATTTTACAAAAAACTTATTCGATTTGGTTAAACGAGACTGTTACGGCTGTGAGTTTGACAGACCAAGCCAAATAGATCATGACGTATGCCTTATGATGAGTGCTGAAGAACAATTAGATAGATATTTTGAAACCATTTTTTATGGTGATCTCATCGAAGGTGAAATTATGTATGAAGAATGGATTGATCAGCAATGCAATACGTCTATCTTCAATAAGTCAAGATTTATTATTTTGTTAAATTTAATTAAGACCGACATTAATATGTTTTATAAGATTTTAAATGCTTTGGAAAACTGATTTTTTTTCCTATATCTTCTGTATATGTTTATGTTTTGTTTTATAAATTTTTTAAAATTTGTTAACGATTAAAAAAATGCATTTGTAAATTATGTGAAATTCGATATGTTTGTAAAATTAAAATTTTTGAGAAAAAATGAATTATTCTTTTTTCGTGTTTATTTATATTGCGTGTTGTTTGCGTGAAGGTTTCAGTAGAGTGAGTAATGGAAATGAGAATGGATGAGAAATTGAGAAAAGTGTATTACGATCCTAAACATCCAGGCAGTTTCGGAGGTGCAGATCGACTTTATCAGAATGTTAAAAAAGACCTTAAAATTACTAAAAACCAAGTTCAAGACTGGTTGAGCAGACAAGATACATACACATTACATAAACATATTCAGCGTAAATTCCCGAGAAATAGGGTATTTGTAACAGCTATAGACGAGCAGTGGGAATTAGATCTTGTAGACATGACATCTTTAAAACGTTACAACAAACAATATAGGTTTCTCGTTACTTGTATCGATGTGCTATCTAAGTTTGCGTGGGTTATTCCTATAAAAAATAAATCCACCGATTCCATGTTGAAAGCTATGAAGACCCTTCTCTCCGGTGAAAGAAAACCTATTCAAATTCATACTGATAGAGGTACAGAATTTACAAACAGAAAGGTTCAAGCCTATCTTAAATCGCTAGACATACATTTCTTTACGACAAACAATGAAACGAAGGCTAGCGTGGTTGAGAGATTTAATAGAACGTTAAAAACCAGAATGTGGGGATATTTCACGTCTAAAGGTTCCAATAAATATATCGATGCGCTTCCCAAACTTGTTTCTAGTTACAATAAGTCTAAACATCGATCTATAGGTACAGCGCCTATACTCGTTACAAAAGAAAATGAACACGAAGTGTGGCAAACTCTATACGGAAACAAGCAACGAATCAATAAACAGAGATTCAAGTTTAAAATCGGTGATCAAGTACGTATTAGCAGATATAAAATGCTTTTTGAGAAAGGTTATTTAGCAAATTGGACGGAAGAAATATTTACAATATACAAACGTAAACGAACGCCTGTCCCTACATATAAACTCAAAGATTGGAGCGGTGAAGAAATTGAGGGAAATTTCTACGAGAAAGAGATTCAAAAAGTTTCTAAAACAGATAAAGATACCTATCGTGTTGAGAAAGTCATACGAAAACGAAAACGCGACGGTAAAACGGAGTACTTTGTTAAATGGTTAGGTTATCCATCCAAATTTAACAGTTGGGTTCAAAACCTGGAAAGATAAACACTATGGCGAGACAGTTCTACGTAACGTTACCAAGCAATAGCTCGATGAATTATTTTCCCGAAAATACACTTACCAGTTACACTACAAAATTAGCCGAGCCCATACGCCTTAGCGGACAGTGGGAAGTCGGACTTGCCGAAATACAATATCCGCATTCGTGGTTTAACGTAGATGAAACAAACAACAGGTTTTACGTGAAAACAGATACAATCCATGAAATAGTTATTGAAAGTGGTTATTACACGTCGGGGAATATGCTGATTGATGAAATCAACAATACTTTGAGAAAGTTAAATATAGATGATAAAATAGTGTTCAGATTCCTCCCTATTCCCGAGAGGGTAGCTGTATCAACCGATTTACATACAAGTATTCAATCCCTAGGAGGATTACAAACGTTACTGGGAATCGACTTAGATTTGATACCTGAACGATCGGAAATTATAGGTAAAAGACCTATTAATCTCCACCATAGGGTGCCCTCGTTGTACGTGTACACCGACATGATCGAATATCAGCGAGTTTAGGGGATGCCAGCGTGCCTCTGTTGAGAATTTTACAAACCAATGAAAGTCATATGAAAAAAGAAGCTTCTCACGAATACGTAATGCCTCACTACAAAAACGTAGTTAAAAAAGATATCGAAACTATAATGATAGATATAAGGAGCGATACAGGTGAGAAAGTATCATTTCAACGCGGAAAGGTTTTGGTGAAACTTCATTTTCGACAGAGTAGATCGTCTTATTTGGTATAATGGTTAACGCTTACGAGGATTATTACCTGGGGCAGGTAGGCGGTTCGACGATTCCCGTATTTCAAGGAACGATGAATCAACGTGGATACGGACTTGGGGGGATGTTATCGGGTCTATTCAAGCGGGCTGTGCCTTTGTTGAAGAAAGGCGCTAAGGCTGTGGGGAAGCAAGCCTTGCGGGCGGGTGCAGAGATTGCGGGAGATGTAATGAGTGGTAAAAGCGTTAAACAATCGGCCAAAGATCGTATTGTACAGGCCGGTAAACGCATTGTTTCTCAGACAGGACGTGGGAGAATGAATAAAAAGAGAAAACGAAATAGTAGAGGTATCACTCGAACGAGAACTAAGAGAGCGAGAAGAACCTCCGATATATTCGAATAACATTTATTATGGCTTACGTACACAAAAACTCACGCGAATGCCTCAAATCGGAGTTGGATTTGTTTTCCGTTCCACCGACTCAAACTAGCATAACCAAAGGTCAGTGGGTGCAGTATTTTCCATATACATCGATATCTGATTCTGGTCCGGTGCAATTCAATATACAGGGCTCAAGTGAGGAATATGTCGACTTGGGTTAAACTATGTTACGTGTCAAAGCAAAAATCACGAAATCCGACGGAACGGATTTAGATGCTGATGACCCGGTGGGACCATCCAATTTGTTACTACAATCTTTATTCAGTGAAGTTGATATTTCGTTGAACGAGAGATTGATTACACCATCTATCAACACCTATTCATATAGGGCTATGATTGAAACGCTGTTAACCTACGGTACGGATGCAAAGCAAACTCATCTTACGGGAGGATTGTTTTACAAAGATACTGCGGGTAGAATGGATGCGGCTAATCCTACTGTTGGAAATGCCGTAGCTAACAATGGACTTAAAAAACGTTCTGAATTTACTAACGGTAGTCGCTTGGTGGATTTGATAGGACCTATTCACTGCGATATATTTTTCCAAGATCGTATGATGCTTAATGGTGTCGATGTTAATATAAAATTACACAGAAGCAAAAACTCATTTTGTCTCATGTCACCCGATGCAGCGGCTGGATTCAAGGTACATTTGGAAGACGCCTCCGTGTATGTAAGAAAAGTGAAACTTAATCCATCTATAGCGCTGGCTCACGCTAAAGCGCTGGAAAAAGGAACAGCTAGATACCCGCTCCGTCGCGTCGAGGTGAAGACCCTATCTGTCCCTCAGGGAAATTTATCGTTTACCAGAGAATCGCTGTACAATGGCAATCTACCAAAACGCCTAGTGATCGGTCTAGTGGGTACTGACGCATTCAACGGGAGTTACTCAAAAAATCCGTACAACTTTCAACACTTCAATACAAACTTTATGGCCTTGTATCTCGTAAATCGTCTAAGTCTTGGATCAGTTTTTAAACGAATGTAAAACATGTTTTCCTGGTTGCTGTGTTAAAATAATAAAAATAAAAATATTTTATCTTTTCAATCTTTTTATTTTTATTATTTTAACACAGCAACCAGGAAAACATGTTTTACATTCGTTTAAAAACTGATCCAAGACTTAGACGATTTACGTTTCGATGATTTTGTTTTCTTTTTAACAACGGCTTCGGATATAGGATGTACTTCGGACTTTGGTTGTATGCCACCCGATTTTATTCGCTGTAGAACAGTCAGACGTGTTGAATTTTCCGATTAAACTTTCGGGAGTATTTAATTTTGCCAATACCACAAGGGATTCTTTCCAGCCTATAGGTTCGAAACCTCGTCTTTTCTGAATAATATCCTTTACTAAATCTATTAAATTACTGCTTTTTAAAAGTTCTCCATCAAATAAAACCTCTCCGAACGCATTCCAGTCTATTACACCCGTACTCCTGTAACGTGTTATCCACTCTAGCAATTTTTTAGTTTTTGATTTTAAAGTAGCAGAGACTGAATTTAATGCATCGGCTATTATAGGATCTGTTTTGGTTTCCTTATCCTCCTCATCTCGTTTCTCGCCCGTTGTAGTGGGTCCTTCTATATTCATACTTATAGGCTTAGGATTAGTGATTCGTTTCTCTCTCTGCAAATAGCGCTGAAGTACTTGATTGTACAGTGTAACTTTATCGTAATCAATAAGATCTTGCCTGCCTAGTATATCATTCATCGATTTATCTAAACTATCAGACACGGTATTTTCTGTCCGTTCATTGCGTTTGTTATGTAACACAACGTCCGCCAATTCTTGGGGTACCACGATCATTTTCTTAGTATGTTCCATTATTTCAACAGTAGACTTCCTAAAGTCTGTAAAATAGGTTTTAGAACAAGACCAAGGAAACCACCTTTCTGAATCAAAATTTGTTTTCTCTTGATTGCAGAAATTTTCTTATTGCTTATATCTCTCAAGTTCTTCTTGTGTCTACTCAGTTTCTTTTTATGAGCTGCGGTTATAGGAACACTGCCTTTTAAAACATTCATCGCGCACTCACAGATTGTCGTTACCAACTCTTTATCGGCATTTTGTAACAAGTTTTCTCTGTTTAGAAGTGCAATTAGCTAAAAAGCGTAAGGTCTCTGCATTTTTTCGCACACGTTTTGACATGATGATTTTTAAAGTAATAATGATACAAAGTACTTAATGTCCCGTTTACTTATACTTTTGGCACGTATGCAAAATGTTTATTGGTTGAAAATATGTTTATACGAATCCTCATCTCTTCCTGCGTATATGGCTTAAGGTCTATAAATAAGTATCCGTACGAATCACGTGTTGCATCATTAAATGCTTCCTGTAAAAATCTTCCCCTACCTGGGTACATTTGTCTCGAAAGATGAATTATTTGTGACTTATCTCGAGGGTTTTTGAACAGTACGATATAGTGAGCATTTAACGTTATAGTACGAATTTCTTTTGATCCATAGAAAAAATTTTGCATAATAAAAATAACCGAAATGTTCCTATGGTGAGATCCTTTAGTAAATAAATTTACAATACGCTTATCTTGGCTACATTCTGTCATGAGATCGTCGATGATGACTAGATGATTTCTAGTCGAATCAAATTCATCTATAGTTTCTATAGGGATGCCTTCGATAAAAGAAATGTTTGGAATAGATTTTCTTAATTCTGAAAACAGTGGCTGGTATTCACTGTAACACCATAAAATATCATCAAATGGTTTATCGAAATATTTATTTTGTATCAATTTCTTTACAAATACTGACTTTCCAGACCCCGTAGGACCACTTATAACTGCAGTGAAAGGTGTTATCAAAGGGCTTGCCATGATTGCTATGAATACCTTTAAGATTACAATTTCGTTATATAATTTGCGCACCTTTTAGAAAACGTCTTGTTAAAACAATATACAGAGCGCGAGGAATACGAAATACTAGTTGGTAACATTCACTCCCAAGCGGAGAATTCAATAGGTGAAGAGTGCTGAATAGGAGTTGAATATTACCATGAGTGCTTCGCTTTTTTTGTTCTTTGTTTCTTTGTATTTAAAGAAAAATTGAAAGGCAGTCTTAATGAACCCCGAAAATAGAAATGAATAAGTTAATAGAAAAAAGAACTGGCTTCTGTAAGTACGGACGCGACACACCCTCGCATTCAACGCTACATACAATGAAAAAAGTAAGTTCTCCACTGGGTCGAGTATCTGTAGCATCAGACATTTCTCAACGACTCCTGTCAAGCACATCAACTTATCAACCGTTTTTTCTACAAGCAAAGCGTTTTGAAGTAAATTTGACTTAAAGACTCTACAAGACGCAGAGAGAAAAGTACCCGATTCAAGTACAGCTAAGTCTAACCGAAATTCTTTATTATTTTTAGTATTATTATTATTATTAGGAAATTCGAATTCATTATCTCGTCTATTGCTATTAACTCTAGTTGTAGTTCACGCACCTTAATTTAAGAAACTTTGATTAATTTAATTTAGAGAAGTAAATATGAATCAAAATCTAGCTCTTCCTTTTTTGTCTCTGCCAATTCTGGTGATTGAAAGGATATGCCATTTCCTTTCATTCCAAGACATTATAAATCTACTAAATGCAATGCCAGAAGAGTATAGGGAGTTTTTGATTACCCTTGCGAGGAGGAATTATCGATTTAAATTAAGAGACGAGAATGGTTTTTTATGTCCATTCAATGGGGCGCATATAAATATATCAGAAGAAAACTTTAGCAACCACTTAAATTCATGCAGTATTAGATACAATGGACCATTCGAAATGACAACTTGTATTTATTCAACAATGCACGTAGTTCCTAACTTTTATAAAGATAAGCACGAGCAGGAATGTGAGGAAAATTGGGACAACGAACCATATGTATCTACTTATGCTCCTGGTCCGGAAATGGCTGAATTTTGGAGAGAGAAATACAGAGCCGAGAGAAGTATCGGCTACAAAAGACTTTATTACTAATTCAAGACGGCCGTTTTTTTTTTACATATTTATTTATTTTAATTCTTTTTTTTTAAATTGTTATTATTTATTTCATATTTACAACCACTAACTAATACTATATAATTTAAATGGTGATTGAAATAACTAATTATATTTGTTGTAATGTTATGTGAATATTACTAATATTTAACTAAAGTCGCATGGTATACAGTAACTAATCAAACACAGAGAAACGATTGCATCTTGTACTGTTTGAACGATAAGCAAAGCTTTTTATTTATTTCATCAATCAATAACACATACATTGTAAATCATTATCATAGAATTTACATTAATTTACAAATAAAAAATATAATATTTCTCTTATAATTACAATAATTTACAATATATACAGCTTTTATATTTACACAAACGCAATACAGTTTCAATATTCATACAACATACGTAGTATTACCAAACATATCCATACGGTACAGTTTTGTAATCATTAATAATTATTTTCTTATCATATACAACCCTATAGTCTTTAGAAGCTGCTTCATTTACGATTTTCCTCGATTTAGGTTTTCTAGTTATACGATTAGACTCGGTAGTAGTTATTTTATCTGGTCCAATACCCCTAACCATACAACTAACCGTTTTAAAATTTATCTTTTTTGAATTCTGATAATTTAGAGTGAAGCCTTTAACTTTACAAACCGTCTTTCCCGAGTCAAGCTTATACGCATAATTTTTAGGACCACCAGATACAAAGCACGTAATAAATTTTCCTTCTTTAGGCCCTATCTCATTGGTTAGTTCACCCAAATAATCACCAATTGGAGGTTGCCATTCACCCGGGTTAGTATGAATCGGTGTCATAGTAAAGTACACGATCCTGTAACTTTTCTAGCAAATCGTATAACTTAAGTCTAGCGGTAGCGGTTGTGAAAGCGGCGATAACAACGTTCACTTTCCTACTTACAGTAACGCTTTGTTCTTCACTCTCGTATTTCACTTCAGCTAAATTATCATTTATTAAGTTTATATCGCTCACAATAACTTCGGGATTGGAAAGTAAATCATACACTTCGTTAGGGTCACTGCAGAATATGGTTTTAGTTTTATTTTCTCTTTGGCCAAACTTTCCCCAAAAAGAATTCAACATAAGTTTGGCGAGGGATCGTAATCCTGGGTTGTAAGCAATACTATCCTTATTTAATTTAATACCCTCGTTTTGTTCATAATCTTCAATGTATTTATCTTTATCATCATATCACCATCGGTAACGCACCATTCAGGCCACCATGAAGCCTCTTGTTTTAACTTTAAAAACGTGTTAATGTATTCGGTGAATAAACCGGCTGAGGGGTTAGTACAATCATAGACGCTTCTTTGGGGGAAGTGCCAAGCAACATGTACCTTGGTAATTTTATACCCCATGTCTACTGCTTTCTGAACTTCAGTGGTAACCCATGTACCAGTTAAAGCCCTTTCGTCAACAGAATGCGTACATGTATTTTGGCATTGCATTTCAACGCAAGTTCGGCATAAGGGAAACATAAGTTTCCCGCTGTTCCGATACGGAAGAACGGGATGAAGCAAATTTTTAGGCGGGTCTACTATGCATTTAACTAGGCCGAAATAATCATTTATATCCGTTGACATATTTTTGGATGCCAAAATCTCGGGGTGGCCAACAGGATATGTTCCGTATTTATTACTATACGGATATAGGCTAGTGAAATCAACGTAATGAATTTCTTCGTTACTATTAACTTCGTAAAATAATCGCGCGGCGTTTGTTCTTCCCCCAAAGAAAGCGTCTCGTGGATTAATGGTAGGGTGAATGAAAGGAACATCAAGTACCTCTTGTTTCTCAATGGGAGTTAACGATCTCTTAATTTCCTTCCATTCATGTTCCCATATTTCTACGTATTCAAACTCGGGGAAATTTTCCTTTAGGAACTCAGATTTTTGTAGCGTTTTTAGATAGGTATCGGACATATTTACATCAGTGAAGGGATTCTTAGAATCGGGTCGATAGCATTTAGGGCACCCGTGGAATAGACATCCCATAAATTCAAATATAATTTTGGGTTCTAAAGATGCCCCATCGACTCTACACGGTCCAAGTCGTTGCTCGCCCCCGTTACGTGCGTGATTAATATGTATTCCCCTTTGTTTTGACTCGTAACTTAACCATTCCATACTAGCAAATGAATGATTATCTATAGTCTGATAACCCGAAGGTGGGAATATAGCTATAGTGTTTGGTTGTAAAAAATTCCTAGCAAACACATAATTGCAGGCTGAAGCTATGGTAATTAAACCGTTAGAGAATGGATCTACTCCTTCTTTATCCTTACCATCGTTAAGCGTGGTAACTTGCTTAAAAATATGTCTAAACGATAAACAACATCGCCTTAAAATGTCTACGTCACTTATGCAGTAATCAATGAGTTCTTGTCTGAGGTTAAATACTTCGTTTTGTTTCTGATTGTACCAAGCAAGGAAATCACCCCTGGCCGATTCTGACATCTTATCGGGATCGTACATAGATACATCGGGGTAATAGCCCACATAATCTTTATTTTCGATCGTATTGAACCTATGGGGAAAGTATCCCTTCTTTAATTCTTTGATACCGAACGTTTTAGGTAATTTTGATAGGGGCATAGGAAGGAAAGAAAGCGAATCAATAAATCGAATCGATGTATCCTTAACTTTGATCGAAATTAATTTTCCGCCCCTAGAAACAACTTCCGGAATAACACCGTAAGAGTGTAAGTATTGCATGATAAAGTAACTATCATACCCTTGGAAATTATGAGCAATACATGTAACATTTTGGTTATACGGATACTGTTTAAATAAGTATTCGCAAAATTGATAGCATGAATCCTCGCCGTAGAAAATTTTGGTTTTATCCTCGCAAATTTCGCATTGATCAGAATCTTTATCATCGTTAATACAGTTTAGACAGCTTTTTTGAAGGACGCATAAGTTAGGATGGTGAACCCCCGTTTCCTGTGTACATTCAAAATCGAAAAAGAAATATTTTTCTATAGTTAGCTTATCTACCTTGTTAGTTTTCTTTTCAACCACTTTTTTCATGTAACAGAGATGACCCGTCTCTACCGTCGTCATACAAACTCTACATACATATTCGCTGCATTTATGATCCTTTTTAATATAGCGATTACAAGTTTTACAAAGTTTCTTTGAATCGCAAAGGGTTTTTTTTACCTTGTCTAGTGGTTCTATGGTTATCAAAGCATTTTTGATTTTTAAATGAACGTAAGCAATCATTACATTTGACGACGGTAGAGGGGTCTATAGAAGGAATGCAATCGTGCGAGAGGCATAACTCGCACACAAACTTACAACTATGGCTAAATTTGTTATTATAACCCTTAAAACAAAGGTTACAAAAATGTCTCACTTCAAAAAAGGCTGTTAGTTTTGAAATTAAATCGTAGTGATTATCGTGGTGGTATAAATAAATTTGTTTTTCTCTATATTCACCACTAAAAATTACCGAGTGAAGATTTTCCCGGGAAATCACAATGATTTGATATTCGGGTAGAACATCCTGAAAACGTTTAAGCTCACTAATCCCACAAAGTCCCTTATCTACACCAGCCCTTCGTAATAATTGTTCAGCCTCTTGTTGCTGATAATAATGACCTCGTCTAATATTATCCCATCTAGATTTATTTTTAATTTTGTCTTCTAACATCGAAATACCCGTTACAATGGCTTTAGAACAGCAAACGTTTTCATCGTTTTCGTCTTTAATTCGAATCAAACACCGAGATCCCCCCACAGCCTTATCTATACCCTTTTTGAAAAAATGTTTACCACCACCACCAATAGGCATAGGAATATGTAAAATGTTAAATTGTAAATCGTCGCCCACTAAAATGTTCATGTGAGACTGAAGGACTTTAGAAATAGCCGCAAAAATTATTTGAGGAGTAATTCGTTCCCTCATCATAAATGGTAAGGAAATTGGTATGTCTAAACCATTCGCTCTAATAACGAACCTAACCATATCATGCAGTTAAACATTTACCAAAATACTATCTAAAACATAATCAAGAATTCCATTAAGCAAAGGAAAAATTTCAATAATTCTCACATCATCCAAACCTATTAATGTAATCAAGTGATCGCTCGCTAACATGTTAAACTTTTTATTGAATTTATTATTTAATTTCCGAATAACGCATAGTTCTCTTACATCCATTTCGTTGAAATCCTTTTCATCGTCCTCGTCGCCATCCTCTGATTCAGTATCTCGCATTCTCTTAGCACCGCGATCAGGCTGAAATACAAGAAATAAAAAGTAGATATAATATAAATCTTTTTTTAAATCATGACAAATTAGGCAAAGCAGAAACCTAGCTTACCAATTTTTTTAGTGTGCTTCCCAGATCCGTATTGAACTATAATGTCTTCATCGTCGGGGTAGTTTTCATCGTTTTCCTGTTCACTTTCATACACCATCTTCTTATGTTGACCTAGATCATGTTGCCGTCTATTGTCGTTATTATCATCTTCGCTTTTTACGTCTTCCTCCTCATCATTATCTTCAAACATCATTTTCTTAAATTTACCTTGGCTGTGCTGTCGTCTCGCGTTGTAATTATCTTCTTTATTTATTAATTTACTATGTTTTCCTAAACCTAAACGTCCATGTCTCTGAATTTCAAATACAGCCTGTTCACACGCAATGCGTATGTCATCATCAGAATCATTGTCTTCCTCTTCTTCATCAAAATCGTTTAAAAAGTCAAACTGAAATAACATGAAAAAAAAAATTAATACAAAAAAATTGATTGGAAGCTTTATTATTTGTTTCACGGAGAAGCAATCGAAGTTGATCAAATCGCAAACCCACGATGACGAATGTAAACATTCTCTTCTGAGTGTGAAGCGGGGCTTGAGAATTCCACCTGGAAGGACCTAGCTCATTGATGACCGTTTCTCAAGAACTTCGGTTTTGAAAGGAGGGAGAGAATGCAATCTGAGTGGATGCGAAAACAATTTTACTTACCAGTTCATCTTCATAAAATTCATTATCTAACTGTTCTTCTACAGCTTCTTCGGTTATTCTAATCAAATCGGTTGTAAAATTAAACTGAAAAAAAAACAACATTCTGTTTAGAATTTAAAAAAAAAAAAAAAAAAAAAAAAAAAAAAAAAAAAAAATGAGAACTATTTGATAACTTACCAGTTCATCCACATCATTCGCCATCGCTAATAGAAAACCCCCGTTAACATCGAGATCCCAGTTAGAAAGGTCTTGTTCATCGGCAAAATTTCTGTTCATCATCTTCTTGGATAGGTATTCGCAGAGTAACACTAAAGTTTATTTAGTTGAAACTAATTTAATGTTCTTAGCCTATTTTTTTTTCTAAATTTATACACTTTGGAAATAAAGGTATTATATAACGTCAGAAGCGGGTTATTCAAACCATAGAGTCACCAGCGGTCACTGATATCTCTGAACCAATAGAAACCGTTCTTTACATAAACCAATAGAAATCGTCCATTCCGCGCTACGTCACCAAATATCATTCACCCGGGCAATTCAAACTATAGTCACAAAATTTACAGTCACCAAACTGTCACTGTTAATCCCCTAACCTAACCTTTTGTTTTCAAATTCAATACCCCCATTAATTTAATGGGCAAGAAGAATATTTTGTGACTGTAAATCCAGCACTGGCAGACTTATCTCCCTTTTGTCTCAATTTTCTCTGTCATTGTTACCAATTTCTAAAGAGCACACAATAGTGCACTATAAATTTTAAGAAAACATGACAAACTTAACACGTCACGCTACACAACGCCACTTAATTAATACCACTTTTTGTTTTTTAATATTTCAATAAACCCTCAAATACCCCCGTCATATGCTTCAACCCATTATGAGGAAAATAATATTAATAAAATTATGAATAAATAATTAAGAATTATGATGACGTAATATTCTATTGTGACCATGTCACCATATTAACTACTTCGATTCATTATCTTACAGAGGATTTGACAACTGTACCCACAACAGACAAGACAACAGTCACAACCACACCATCAGGTGAGGCTTGTTTAACTATTGGTAAACTTGTATTTTGAAGAACATGTTGTTTATGATATAATTATGCTATCAGGAAACTTGTATTTGCTTTTCGTCGTAGCAACAATACTTACAAGTTCTTTATCGTCAGAGAAGCTGCTTAACATATCTGAATGAGGACGACGGTTCTGCCGTCAGGCTTGTTGTTGTTCCGAGGTACTGGTTTTTACTGGTACGGGTGAAGCAGGCTGGGCGGCAGGCTGAAGTCCATCAATGACCTGGTCAAGAATTGCATCACTTATTGATCTTATGGACTATTTCGTTTTCGCATATTGATGCAATAATCTTATCCATAAGGTTGGGTGATGATAGTATGTGTTTGCTTATCGTTGTAGCAACAATACTTACAAGTTTTTTATAGTCAGAGAAGCTCCTCAACATCTCTCAATGACGACGACGGGTCTGCCGTCAGTCTTGTTGTTGTTCCAAGGTACTGGTTTTTACTGGTACGGGTGAATCAGGCTGGCCGGGCGGCAGGCTGAATATTTTGAGCTCGATCTGGTCGACATTACTTCTTAAAGTGTTGATGTTTAGTTTTTGTACTGTCAAGTTACCGTAGTGCGAATAATTAAAAGCAAATTAAGAGTTTTTTATGAGCGAGTTTGAAACAGGTTGTTAGTTCGTCATGACCTTTGACCTAAAATTTCAATTCAAATAATAATAAGTTTCTTCCTGTCTCTTATACACATCTAGATGTGTATATGTATATATATGTATGTATATATATGTATATATATGTATTTGTATATGTGTATATATATATGTATATGTATATATATGTATATATATATGTATATATGTGTACATAGGCCTATATAATTATATACACATATATAAGTTTAATCATTCTGCATACAACGTTGTTTCGTCTTTAAGGACTCATCAGTTCAGCTCAGATTTGAGATTGGAACATAGCTATGAAACAAACAAGCCTGTAACAAGGCAGTTTAAAAGCGCTCGTAATACCATGCCAAGAGTGCTCAAACTACAATATATAAACAGTACGACATACCATAGAATATCGTCAGATTTGGTATAATCAACGTTTATTGCTATATAAATCTATGCCTATTGCTTTTATTTATAATGAAAGTGAACGAAATGTTTGTGAGAAATCAACATTATAACAGTATAAGACGAAAACTGTATTGACATTTACTGGCAGTTCGTTGGCGGAGTTATTCGAAGCTTTTGGTTAGGAGAGCTTGTTTCTTGCTGCGCTCAACTGTTGGTTTGCCTACATGTTTTGTAAGGATATTCATTGTTTTTACCTTGAATTTGCGTGGAGTGCTTGGTGTACAGTATTTGGAATCACCGTTTTGACAGTGTCACATATCATAGGCCCAGAGAGCATCTAATCTCTTTTTACTATAATCTATGAATTAAGATAGGCCTACATAAATTGATGCTTTTTCAGTTGAATGCTTGTGTTTGTATGAATTAAGGAGAATAGTGCATACTACCGACATATTTTACAATACCAACTCGCATCTGTATTTATTCGAATAAGCTTTCTTCCGCTTTGAATAAATGGTTCCCATAAATAAAATCCCCCTTAAAAAAAACCCTGAATATTTAGCGGTTCTTTTCAACTTTTCACGCCTGCGTAACGAAGCACGCGTCTCG